CCTGACCTCAGGAACCTCCTTCCAACTCGGGTTAAAAGCAGACTCAGCTTTGGTATACAAGGGTAAACAAAGGCTTGTCTCCAAAGTGGTTATATGGCTCTTAATGCTATTGCCTTTTAAACTGCACTTTAATTTAGACAGAAAGCTTGAATCTGCCAACTAAATCAAGGGGGAAAGAGAAACTGCTTGTGGTGCTTATTTTATAGCTACTAATGCAGAAAGAAGATTGTGATTTTATTGTTTAGCAGTAATGTGTATTGAACTACTGTTGCAGACATACTTCTCTGTGACCTGTAACAGCAGTCTCAGATGAAAGAAAACCATTACCCATGAACAGGCATTTATTATTATTCAAGCATGCATTTTGTATAGGAAAGGTCTGTTGTTGTGACAAACAAATTATCTGTCTTCAACATCACATGATTTATCTTCAGAGTTTATATACTTTTAAAATGAACCAATCTGATACTATGGGTTTATTACTGTGAAAACGCCAACAAAACATTTGTCTAGCTCCCTTCGGTTTTCTTTTGTTTTCATCGTTTTTCAAGACCCTGTATTCGCGACGCATGATTAACAAGACTTTTAGGTGGTATGAGAGCACATTGAACAAACTACCAGACCAAATGAACAAATCAATAAATGTAGGTCACTTTTCTTTTTAACATTATTGGTTGTTTTGCCGCATCTCTATTATGGTAAGTTTAAAGTAGTGGATTGATAGCTGTTGAAACATTTCAGTTGTTCTCCGAGTCATCTTAAAGGTCCCCATTATACTGTTTTTCATCAATATATTATAGGTCTCAGATATAAACAAACATGTCTCTGAAGTGTCCAAATACCAAACAGATCATGCATTGCAGCATCCCATAATCCCCTCTGTTTCAGCCCTGTTTCAAAAGTGCTGATTCTCTTTCTGTTACTTTAGATGAAAATAAGGAGCCACTCCCCACGCCCTCTGTGAGATATTTGGTTTAAAAGAACACAATGGTGCTCTAGGAGGAGATTCAGGTGATAAGGTGGGGGGGGGAGGGTTATTGGCTAATGGTTAAACAAGCCAACAAATCGTTATGACATCATAAAATGGCCAAAATCTTTTTATATAAATGGATCAGGACAAAAAGTGAGTGAATCTTTTTTCCTGAAACTTTCAGAATCTCTTTACACAGAGGGGACACATGTTTATGTATAAAAGACAGGAACAAGTGGATTTTGCACAATAGGTGACCTTTAAGGCATTTGACGGTCGCTGACGTTAGTATTGTACACAATGCATCATTTGGTCCACTATTGTTGTGGCTCCACACCCTGCTCGCAGGAGTACGGCCTGGACCGGTGTCTCTGTATGACACTGCAATGTAATCCTTTTTGTAATCCTTGCCCAAGCTCAGTGCTCAGTTTCTTAATCCTAACTCTAATAAACATGTTAAAGCTGAAGTTAAAGTGTCTAGTAAAAAAAAAAGTGCAGCATGTGTCTTATCTGCCACGGTTGAGTTATTGTTTGATCACTGGAAATCCAGGCAGAGTCCCCACTTTGTCAACACTGCGAGGTATGCTCGCAGATTCATCATAGGACTTTTGTCTGTCAGTTAAACATTATTCGTGCCAGTGTGGCTTTCTCAAGGAGTCGGCATGTGGGTCAGTTTGCGTGACACTCAGCCATTGTGTGGTTTTGGGGCAGATTTTGAAAATCTGTTTGTAAATTTGGCTGAACATGGAGTAGAGCCTTGTGTAATCTGACTATTTCAGTTGTATGCGGTTTTTTCGAAAACCCCAGACAAGAGGTCAGGCATTTCACTGTGTGGGTTTACTTTCTGCAACCCCAGAGTGAATGTGCTTTTCTCCACTTGTCCATTAATAGAACTTGGAAATAGAGCTCTTCTGTTCATGCACATTGTATACTGGTCCCGTTTCCGTTGTGATCCTATTATTTCTTTGTATCATTACATAGTGAATGGTTCTTTTCATTGTGTAGTGGCATCTAGACTAGTAACAGGATTTAAGCGGAACTAATAAAAAAACAAAGCTCATCCAGGAATGGTTATACTCCTTTAGAAAATGTAAAAAAGGGCATTGAACTCACTGAAATTATTAATCTCCGGAATATTGGATGGAATTCTTCTGGGAATCACTAGCATTCAGTGTTTTTAACAAATAATTGGAGAGTCTTAGGGCTTCTCCTATGAAGGCTTTACTTTCACACTAGCTGAATCCTTGAACTTCAGTCTGCCTTGACCCTTGACCTGTTCTTTATTAGTGTTAGTCTTATCAGCCTCCTGTCATTTTAAACAGGGCTTTACTTATCATGTGGTTATCACAAATGCATGTTGTAAGGAGAATGACTGGCAAGGGGGTATTTTACAATGTCTACATTTGAAATGCAACAATTAAATGGGTTTTCAAAAAGTCCATCAACAGAAATGGTTTGCTAATGGCATGATAAATCAGTAATTAAGATAGTTAGTTGCAGCCCTAATCTAGGCTACAGTCACTCTCTAATAAAAAGTGAGCACAAAAAATGGTCATAATTAAAGATAATAAATGCATTGCAGGCCGACAAAGGGTTGTTTGGGACATGAATTGTTTAAGCCCATTATTTGGCGACCCAAAGGGTATTTGTCAAAGGCGCTTTTGTTGTTTCTGGTCAAAACATTAAGGTTGTCTGCTTAACAATTTAGAAGTCAAGTAGACAAACAGTAGTAGTCTCTCTCTCTATAAAGTAGATTACAAGTCAACTACCCTGAACATGAGCACCTAATAAACATGGTTCTCTGAGTTGATTAGTTTAGAAGGTAGGCGATGATTTGAATCTAATACCATGAGCCTACTTCTCAACCTACCTATTTTATTGACAAAAGGTTTTTTCAAGTCACATTCTTTGGTCAAATATATCCCAAAATATCAACACAAAGGGGTTTGAAGAGCTGTTTTTAGAAGAGGCTCTGCATTAACCTGTTTGCACTTTTCACTGTTGGCTGTCAGTGTGAGAGAGGGTTCATTGTGTGGTCTTGTCTGCGGCTCTCTGTGTCTCCATACGGCCCAGGAACAGTGTGTGGTGACAGCTCGGGTGATTACCTGTCCTGTCTCATTCACTCAGCCGGCCTGCAGCCTGGCCACATCATGCATCAGAACCCTGACACATGGTGATTAGGATGTCGTTAGGCCTCACTCTCTGTCGCTCTCTGCACACATTAATTTGCTCTTCCTCCGAGCTCTAGTGGAAATGGGCACTCCACGCTCATTTCTGTAAACCATGACATATGAAGCTTCTGTGGTGACAAGTCTTGAGCTAATATTACATTTCATCAGGGACTAATGTTTGGTTTTCAAAGCACTCATCACAAATTCATATTCCTCCCTCAGACACTGATCTGGAATTTCTCAACCGGCCTAATTCACGGAGGTGTTGCTATCAAATGATTTGTTTTATATATCATGATTAATCCCAGCGTTTTTGTTCATCTCAAATAATCCAATTAATTACAGTTCCATCTATAAGTATTGTTCACAAGCAGAACATACTCAGAATCATTTATTCTGAAAGAACATCTTAAAAGGAAACAACAGTATTAAAGTGTTTTATTTAAATGCAACTCTTTCTAATCCATCTCCTGGCTCAGCTTATCCTTTCATTTAGGAGTTTATTATAGCACGCCTTTCGAAGACTTGCAAAGTGTGACTCAGTTTTCATTATATAACCCCAACACACCGGATGCATGCCAAGTAAAAGGCATAACTAATCTTCATCTGGGTCTAGTCTAAATTAAGCAGTACAAGTATCTTGGGGGTTTCTTTGTCACTATACATAGCCCTAAAAACGCTTAATTCTAAGAACAGCTGATGCTAAATGTCATAACTTTTCCTGGTATTGGGTCAAAAACATACAGAACAAATGTATGATTCATTTTCTGGGAACCATGAATGAAAAGTGTGTACATGTCCACCTGGTAAATGCTGAGATATTTAAACATAAGCTAAAACGTTGACCTGCTGTTGACGTAAAGGTCAGGGGACAATCAAAGTCAGTAGGACCTATCCCCTTTGGACCATGAAGTAAAGATGAACCAACATGTCCCTTCTTGCATGGATGATAATTACCCAGTAACTTGGATATTTGTTGGGATTAGTAGTTTTAGTTCCCTACATAATACTCAGTTTGGAACAGTAAGTACATTAAAAAAAATTTTTTAAAGGCATGCAAGCTTATAATCAAATAAATTTGTGTCTTCTAAGTCTAATTGGATCCAGCATTGGCAGCGTTTTCCCCTAGCACTGAGTGGTTTATGCCCAATTAATAAATGTGTGGTGTTGGCTGCAGCATGGCATTCCTCCTGCAGTTCAGTGCTAATGATTTGGAGCGCTTTAATGTCGACTGCCTTGGATGATGAGCACTAAGCCTGGTGTCACTGCGGCCCTTTAATCACCATTAGTCTTTCTCTCTCTGTCTCTTTCCCGCCTACTCACTTTTCCACCTCCAGTTGTCTCTTGTGTGCTTCCCCTCAGTTGCTTTCATCATCTACTGTCCTTTTCATTCTCGCTTTTGCTTCTCTGTGTCTCTTCATTGCTGTCACAGTGTGTCAGAACAGGTGGAATCAATTACTGACCCGCCTCAGCAGCCCGCTCCCTCACCACAACTAGCTGCGTAGTTGAGGGAATTAATGAGTGATCAGCCTTGGAGATGATGTGGTGTCACGGGTTAGCGATGTGCGATGGAGGGAAGCTGTGGGAGGGATTGTTTGACCAATCCTGCATAACTAATTCTGTCCTTCTGTAATGGCGGTCCAAGCAGTTCACATGTCCCTCACTGCCTCCCCTGCCTGCTAACGTTGAGCAAAGACACAGAAGTATATTACCACGTTTTCTTTATAGCTTATCAGGATGACTTCCCTACCCTCTCTCACTGTGGCCTCCATTGGGCTTCACATCTGCTCTGTTTGTACAGTGGTTTTGACATGTCTCATGTGTTTCTCACTCTCAACCCCCCACTTATTTCTTCACAGATGGAATCCCCTGTCTCCACGCCAGCTCCTCCCCCCCTCCACCTCCTGGCAACAGTTGGCAACAGTGAGATATCCTCGCCGTGTGAGCAGATAATGGTGCGCACACGCTCGGTGGCCGTGAACACAACCGATGTGGCCCTGGCTACTGAGCCTGAGTGCTTGGGGCCCTGTGAGCCCGGTACTAGTGTCAATCTCGAAGGCATTGTGTGGCAGGAAACTGAAGACGGTAAGTTTAAAGGTTCAACATCATGTTTAATAAGTGTAGGAATCTTTGGGAAACTCTGTCCTTGATTATGACCAAACTATTAGGAGAGAAAAGTGTGGATTTTGACAAATAGATTAGTTGGGCTAATCCATAGTCACAATTCTGACATGAATGGACTTCTCCTTTCACATACTGTGTAGTGGATCTCTTCCAACAAACAAGTCTTAGATTTAAAAGGAAACAAGCTATACATAGGAGATTGTTTGTTTTGTGCTTTTATTTATATAGCCAGTGGTTGCATGAAGAAATGTTTGGTTTTATAAGGCTTTAGAAAAGCCTCAGTCGTTAAAAAAAAATATTCATCTTGCTGTCATTATCTTACATATTGTGCCTGCTTAAATGTAATTGGATATGCCCTGACTGCCTCAGGAGCTAGTGGTGGTACTAATGTGTGCTTTAACAGCCCACATGCTGCATAGTATTGCCAACAAGAATAGTAGTTGGCAGGCTGTTCTTATGTGGCTTTGATTTGTTTTTTGCTCAGGAGTACGCAGACGGGAGTTTGTTGCACAGAGATATCTGCTCTCTGCAACAACATGCCTCATAACACAAAGCACTTCTTTTTTTTTTGCAAGCCTGCCATTTGGGAATTGAGTTGGCTCCTCTCCTGCACTGCAGTCCGAGTGAAATGTTAGACCTTCTCTGTTTTCCTCCCTTTGATCGAAATCGCATTCAGCTGATTTAATTTTAAGATGTATCGCTAGCACTGTCAGGTTCTGCTGGGTCTGAAAAAACAGCCCTCCTTTTCTGTCGTGCAAGAGAAATAATGCGTACACCTAATCTTCAAAGCAGCTCGCGCTCACTGGCTCTGCGGGCATGCTGAGTACAAATCGCTCACACATCCACAGTGCTGCCTGTTGGTTCACTTGAAGGAACCAAACAGAAAAAGGTCCCTCATCAACATTCCCCAAGCACAGTCCCTGCTATTGAGTCCCCCCCCTCCTCTCCTTCCCTTTTATTTTTTGATTTTTGATCCAGCCCCAGGCGGTGTCAGTTTCACCCCTGTTCCCTCCTCTCTATTGCAACCCTTTTTTCTGTTACCAAGCATCCAGCCCGTCACCCCTTGACTCTGTTTCCAAGCAAACTGGGAGAGCGAGTGCAAGGCAGGGGGTTGGGGCAGGGGTGGAGATAGACAAGGCTACTTCTGTTAGTGACACAAACATGGCTCAGGGCCAACACCAGTACTATGTTTGTGCTCCCTCATTCTCTGCCTCCCACTGAGTGATTGACCCTCCCCCCTCGTCCTGCCCCCTTCCCTTTCCCCGTCCTTTGCCTGCACTCACCCTTTAAAGCTGTTATTTTGGCTCAAAGAGGTAGTGGTTTGTCCTGATGGGGCTGTGTTTTCTTCTGATTCTACTCTATCTGGCTCAGTGGGGTAGAGGCTGGTGGGGGCTTTTGAGTGCTTTTAAAAAGCGTTATGGTGGTGAGGGTAGGTATGTGTTGAAGGATGAGGGAGGGGGGAGGGGGGCACTCTGCAGGTGTAGTGCACAGATTGTTTTGGCCATCTGAGCTGTTGAGGAAAGAAGGGTTTCCAGGATCTAACCCACTTCCATCTCTTTGAAGCCTGTTTTTGTTTTATCACAGAAAGACCTCTATCAGGTAGACACAGCCGGATTGCAACTTCATTTGATAAAATATGAAGACTAATCAGTTGTATTACATTTTGCACAGTGCATTAAACAACACAAAGCTGAGTGTTCTTCCTACATCATTTGAATGGTACGGGACCCTAACAGCCCACCGGCTAGTTTTAGGATGAAAGAGACCATGGTGCTTAGTTCGAACTGCACCGCCATTCTGCATTTCTCCCTAAGAGACCTATGAGAGCAGACTTCTGTCATTGTGGTGCAACTGAGCAAATGAGAACCAAATGAGGAAATCAAGCGAATCCAGGCAGACTACCAGGGAAGAGTAACAAACAGAGGGCCCCAAAGACATTGCAGAAGCATCCTGATTAGCAGTGAAGTTGAGCAGTCCCCCACTTCTCTGCATGACAAGTCTCATACAGAGCTGTTTAGGCATGCACAGTGTGTGCGCGCGTTTCATTTAGCATGCCAACCAACAGCTGCTTCATCACCTCCGCCTTTCGGCCTTGTGGGAGTAAATGAACAACAGGCTCCCAGTAATTGTCTGTGCCTCACCCGGCTCACCGAATGCTTGTGAAAGGAACAGATGAGGAGGAAGCAAGCGACAACTAACAAATACGATCACAGAAGCAGCACCTTTGGTCTGAGCTGACAAGAATCTTGTCTGATATGACCAAATAAATGTTCCATCCCCTGTAATATGAGCACAGATGTATCAGGCATGTCATGGATAATGGCTAGACTGAATGTATATGTGAATTGCTGAATAACAGAATAACATTTTTATTGGATTGGTTTAGTCCTGTGAAGGAGCGTAATACATGGAGTGGGGAAGTGAGTCTGTGTCAGTTAGTCAGCCTGGGGGCCATTGGAGCGTAGACAGAAGCGGGGGGAGGGCATTGACGTGGTATTTTAAGGCCCGGCACTGACTCAAATCCCCTGAGCGCAGACAAGGCAGTGGCAGCTCCCAGGGTCGTGTCTGCAGAGCGATGGGCCAACCCCTCCCAGGCTTAGCATGCTGATACCTCTAAATGTCATCTCTAAAATGCTGGAGAAGTTTATTGCTGTTGAACCGCAGCCCAGAATGCCTTGGCTCCTGCTCCAGGGCAGAGCGAACACAGAGAGGGCCCCTTTGGCCAAATACTGCAGCTCAATGCAAGTGTGCACCCCCCCTCCACCGCACCTCACACTACCCGACCCTCCAGCATACAGCAGGCTTTTCCCCAATACAGGTCCTGCAGCTTCTTAGGCGCCTTAATAGATAAATAAAACAGGCTGTTTGTGATGAATGTTTGTGTCATGGATTATTTAAGCAACACGTATTACATCATTGTAAGCATTGGCTTTAGCACAGGACTTAAACGCGGTCTGGCATACGAATAGAAGAGGTCAGTGTGAAACGGATATTCCTGTATAAACATTGGCGAGATGTGTTGTGTTTTTCTCTTTTTCTCCAACCCTGTCAGGGAGCGGAGAAGGGGAATATTGTATGAAAAGAGCACTTGGCTCTTTAACTCACTCGCCGGCTATGCTTCCTTGCTCTTTTGAAGACCACCTGTCAGTGGCCTCATTGAAATGTTTTTACAAAGGCGAGCGGTGGCTGCTCTCCGTGAACCCGCTATAGAAACTGTGCTTGAAATAAGAGTGAGCATTCTCGGAAAGCCTGTAGCCCGCTGCCAGGCCAATGAGCAAGAAGAAGATGGTGTGAGAAATCAATCACAAACTTCTGTTAACAGTAGAGGACACACTGAAAAGAAGAGAACAAAAGTGATACGCCCCTTTCTTTCTCTAGCCCACACTCTTGAACTAGCTTAGCCTTGTTTACTTTCCAGCTTACCAAACCCTCATCAGTGTTCACTTTGACAGTGGAAGTGGACAATTTCCACGAGCAAAACAAAAGCAACAATCCCATGTTGTAAAGATTTACCAAAAATATGTGGTTGAAATAATACCCGATAGGGAATTTTAGATTGAGATGACTCGCATTCTTTTAGGGTGGAAACTTGTCTTGTTAGTCCCCGGGTGGTGTTTCCAAGATGGCGCCTCACAACTAAAATCTCTTAAGAGAGACTTGGTTCCTATTCATATTGGCCGACAACTGCATTTTTTCAAGCACTTAAATGGTCTTGAAACGTAAATCATATGCCTGGAGGAATTGTAGGCTTTGCCAGTGGTTGTCATAAGATATCATGTTTGCTCTATACACGTCAACGAGTTTTTGAGTAATGCGCCTTTGGCAGACCTGTCTCTTAATCTGAGCAACATCTCCTATAGTAAAAACACCAGAGGGTTTGTTTTGACAGAGGGATTATAGATTTACCCAGATGGCATTTAAGGAAACTGCTCTTTGCCTCACTGCAAATTATTTACAGTAATAAATGCATGTTGGGTCGATAGAGAAGTTACATGCATGGCTGCTGTTCAGTGGTGTACTTCCACTGTAAACTACTGAATTGATATTTGTTAAGGAAGAAACTGCTGCTGCATGCTGCTGATAATGTTGCGACGATGTGGAAAGCATACTAATGCTCCCCTTCTCTGCCTCTCAGTGGTATGAGAGAATTGACCTTCTCTCAGACTGTTATTCTTGTCAGTGAGAGTGACTTTGCACTTTTACCTCTCATGAACCGGAATGCAGCCTGAACTTTTCAGATGGGGATCAGTTAAATGATCTGAAAGTCCAAATAAAACCATGCACCAAATAGTTGTTTAATTTTCCAGTGACTTTATTGTAGTACTGAGGTGTGAAACAATTTCATTTTTAATTAGAAAAAATACCTCGAATGATCATTTAATTAAAATCATTACATTCGATTAATATGTTAATCAAATAATCAGTTAATTAAATCCTTTCCGCTAAACGATGACATTTTAAATATGACTGGCAAATTACCCGAACACTTGAAATTCTCAAAGTACCGCATTATCACCAGCATCTTGAGTGCTTAAAGTGACTCTTACAATTTGTCCTAAATTCCTGTCTGCCCAGGATTTAAGATGAGGTCAGTTTTAGGACTTTGTATTCTGACACTGACACAACCAGACAAGCTTGGCTCCATGTTATGCACCACGAGTGCAGAAACACTCTTAAAATGGACTGTTGGAAACATGCTCAGACAGTTGAATGCTCAAACGCTTCATTTATCAATGTTACAGTTATTGCTCATGGCAGTACCCGGCTATCTTTTATCTTCTCCCCTTAATGAATACTGACACTATTTTTCTCATTGTTCTCACTTTCTTGTCTTCATGCAACCTTGATACGAGTGGTGCTTTTTAGTGAAGAGAAAATGAGGAAGTGAAAAGAGCTAGCTGTCAATAATTACTTAAGCACCGGACTGCGTACAAGAGGAGGTGATAATTGCGATAATTAAGAGTGGTGGTAGTTGTTCACATTTTCTTTAATCAAGACTTGTTTGAGTCATACAAATTTAAAGAAAAATCTAAGAACCTTTTAATTTGGTCTCTCTGATAACGGTAATATAATGTCACATCCAATAATTACAAAGTGAGCTCCAACCCTCAAAGATAACAAAGGCATTTGGACAAGGTCAGCCAGTGAAAATGCCATTAGCCCCGCTGAATTCCTGTTGAGTTGAAGCAGAGCAGAGGTCAGCCAGTGAACCCGTGGCCCTCGTCAGCAGCAGAGGACTCGATCTGCTGGCCCCACTGCAACCTAATGAAATGTGTTAAGGAGGGAGCGGGGGGGCAGTCACCCATGCAGCAGACAAACCTACTCCTGACTTAATTTGTGCCCCCACATTGCCCTCTTGTTCAAGTAATCCAAGTAGTGGAGTTTGGTGCGTAAAGAGGGCTGCCATTTGTTGTTCGACAGCATTGAAAGGAAATGAGTGGTAAAATTGCAGGCCAATTCCTGTCAGTCATTTTGGCTTCACTCGGCTGTCAGGAGTGACCCTAATAAGACGACTGGGATTGTGCCAAATCACTCTGTTTCTCCCCCAAAGTAAAGAGGGGCTCACACAAACACTGACATACAACTTCCCTGTGTAAACAAATGATCATGCATGGAAAGTCATCTCAGATTCGTGTATCATTTGCTCTCTGCCACATGGAAATTAGTTTGGGTTTTTTCGTTAAGGGATTTCCATGTTTGGACAAACTCTGCATTGACATCTTTGTCCAAACAGCTTGAAAATTATTTCTAGGATGAAAGTGTGCGGATAAATTCAAATGGCTTTCAGAAATGTAAACCTAATCCTAATCTCTTGGCATTCCCATGAGCATATTTTTATGATATTGCCCAGAATTTCAATGGATGTTCACCCACCTAGTTAAGAGACATCAATAAGTAAAGAAATATGTTGTAAATTGTGAAATATTACAGGGAGTCAAAATGGGATACTTTGAGAAGCAAGTTTTTCGTTAGCTATGACTGTCTTTAAAGATGTGTAACACAACCACAACCTACTGTTTTCCAATTAGCTCAATGGATGTACAATTAATGTATCAATTCATTGTTTAACAAGTCAATATCAACACAATAATGATGAATACGTTGCTTAATGAAAACAAAATGTAATCTTAATAAGCTACATTTTAGATTTAGAAAAAGTATGTCTAGTGTAAGCACGGGGGTAGAGATGATTGTTCTACTTCACTCTGACCAGAAATAATAATTATCTCTTATCTTAAGGAGGGAATCAAGTGGAAATGGCAGTGTTGCAATAATGATGTAAAATGATTTTGAAGTGTCTGTCATTCTTTCTACTAATATAGAGGCTGGCTGTTTGGCTAAGAAATTGAATAGCAGAAGTAAAAATCCTTTTCACTCCTGCCATGGTTGACGAATAGGACAGGATAACTCAGTGAAAGCTTTCAGAAGCATACATTTAGATTGCCTACTTATTACAAGTCGTTCAAACGTGAAGTGTTGCCACCATTTCTTGTTTGTAGTTTTTAGCACCATTTCCATCCGGTTTAAGATGCATCAACCTTTCTTTAAATATCCTTGATATGTCCCAGATAACATTTGAGAAACTAGTTTATTAGCATTCACACTGAGTTTTGCCGAGGCAGAGATCTGAGGCGACCCAGAAGCCAAGGCCCGCTCTGACAGGATTACAGAGCTGCTTGGCTTCAACACGGGAGGGTGGCCAGAAGGACCCCCCTCTTAGGAAAATACTCATTCACAGTCCACAAAAAGCCTTGTATAGGATTCAGACCTTGAAGCAAATAAATTGATTAATTGAAAATTGAGCAATAGGTCTTTCTGTAGCCTATGTGTTAGTGATGGTGGATGTGTATGTCCATGGCTGCCATATTCATTTGTACATTGATTTACACATTTATCCAAATATAGTAGAGACATGTTATAGGGTTACTTTCTAATGATTAATGTATTGACTCACCTATTGCCACTGATAGCACTTGAACGGTTTATTAATAAATGCTCAGTCAGAATGACGTCCATTTGATTATTGCACTAATTCATATTTCACGTTTATAAAGCCCTAGTTTTTGCTACACTGAGGTCTGCTCTTCAGCGGCAGTCACCTGGGAGTTGTAGTAGAGGGAAATACAGGGGACTTCTCAAGGAGAACTCAATACATAGAATGATGTTCCCACAGGGCAGTGATCCCTATCCAACAGCCAAATACATCACGCAATTTCTTAAGAACAGGATTGTGAAATCTTTGATATACAAGACAAGCTTCAGACCTGTTTAAGCAAACCTTTGCATTGGATTGAAGATAGTTTCGGAGATAATCATCATTCAGCTTCATTCAGTTGACGTAAATCTGTGGGAAGAATTACAGAAAATCATAGAAATCTTGACGTGCCAAGCTATACATTCTTTAAAATGACCAACAGCTAGTATCAGTCATCATTTGTTCAAATACCAACTTACTGCATTTCAAGTAAAAAAAAAAATTATATTTACAAATTAATTTCATTTATTGAGGTTATAATATGATCACAAACTCATTCAAAACAAACTATGTATATTTAAATAAATGTAATGTTATAATTAAGCGTTTTTAAATGACTGCTTCTCTCCAAAGGTCAAACAATGGTCGGGGTTTAAATGTTTTCATTCTCAAGACTTTCAAATTGTTGAACTATTCAATTCAAACACTTAAATTGGTACCAGCAATAATTCATGCTCCTCCATTGTCAGCGCTAATGTTAATTTTAAATCGTTACACACAACTCGTGGTATCATTTCTAAACCCTCTCGCATGAGAAAGAAGGGCACACTATATCCTGCACATCATGAAAGACTACTCATTCATTTGCCCTGCCTTGATTTACATCCTGCCACAACCAGCTGCCAGAGCCATTTTGTCTTGGAGTGTTCGAAGAGCTTAGGGGGGCGGTCTGTTGAAGGCGTTTAAGAAAAGGTCTGTGTTTTTTTAATGTGACATAAATCTGAACTTGAGAACCTCTCCTGAACGACATTTGCAGTTGGATCTAGCCTGGACCATGTTTTCAGGCCATAGAGTGAAGGAAGAGACTTGTGGCAAAGTGTCAGCAGGTTCCTGTAAACATATATAAATGCCTTATACACTCGCCGCTTTATGCCAGAGGCAGCAAGAGAAAAATGAGGTCTGAACTGTGACTTGTGTATGGGAGGGGAAAAAAGATTGTAAGCCAGGAATGGTTATGCCATTGAAAAGAGGAAGTGAAGGTGAAGGAGAGAGGGAGAATGGGGTGAGCAAGAGGTTTCCTAAGCTAATAAAATGCTCCGAGGGCGGAAGCTGCCAGCCAGCATTCCTGTGCCATTAGATAAGTTAGCTCACTGCAGCCTCCAGTTTCTCTGCAGTGCTGAAGTGGCATGCTGAGGTCACCACTGGGGAGTGGGGGGAATGGTGGGAGCAATACAATGTTTTTGTGCTCGGCCGTTGCTCCTAATCCTCTGAAGTTGCTTTGGTTGATGAATTACTTTTGAATGGACGTGCGAAAACTAGAAATTGGCACCAATCTTCCTCCAGCACTCTGCTGACTTTGTGCAATAACATGAATTATTTTTAACTGACGTTTAATGTGTAAAATAAGGGTTTAAGATTAGTGCTTCTGTACTTTTTATTTCTTTACTACAAATGGCAAACTGCCTTCAGATGAACAGTACTTGGTGTCTTAAGAGAAAAAAACGGAGAGTTGTGTGATCTTTTGAACTAATTTTAGATTTCAAATAAGAGGTCAGGTTTCACAGTCGGCGCAGGTGGGGTGTGTAACTCTCACGAGTGCACCCACATTCACACTAGCCAAATGGCAACACAGAAGCTTCAAAGTGTGACAGATTGCACCAATACCAGTGAAGTCAAGGATCTTGTATTGCACACTCAGTTACATTCTGTCAAACTGAACAGTTCACGTTGAATCGGTTTAACCCAGGAGCTTGTTTGTGTGTTTATTTGTTTGTAAGAAGCTGTTTTAGTAGATTCAACTTCTCCCCAAGGTAGTACATTCCTCAGCTGGAAAGGGAGATAGAGGAATGGAAAAAAAGTATTTGCCTCCAAGTAATTCTTCTTCAGGGAAATCTCTCGCGCTGTGAGATGGCTTATTTTAAATGGAAAGGATGTTCAGTGAATATTCCCCGGTTACCTTAGTGTGATCGCTCTTAGTGGGACCTTCTGCCAGGACCTATACTGACTGCAGTGGAGTCTGTTCCAAGTCATTTAGAAGATATCAGTCAGTCTTGCCCCTACGGCTTTACTGTGTAAAGCAGTTTAAAAAACGATCTTTGACTTGTGTAACTGTCTTGCATGTGACACCCTTTAGCAAAGATCAACACATTAATGCAGCAGCCAGGATTCTCTTTTTGCTCACATATTAAAGACAGTTACATTATGCATCTCAACGTGAAACATTCTGTGTTGTGTGTTTTCCATAATTGTCATTGTTAACACTTCTTTCTCCTTGTCTCATAGGCATGCTGGTGGTCAATGTTACCTGGAGGAATAAGACATATGTGGGCACTCTGTTGGACTGCACACGGCATGACTGGGCACCCCCCAGGTAAGAAGCATTTCCATGTCTGGTTTCTGTTTTAACTGGAGAAAACAGTGTGTATTTAAATAGTAACATTTAAACATTCTTCATTTGAACTGCATTTCTATGAATAGGGCTTCATTTGTTTGGAGTTGTTAAAACGGAAGCTACACACACACTGATTCAGCATTTTATCTGCACTTTACAAAGCATTTACAGTCACAGATGTTAGTTGTAAATGTCAAGGAAAAAAAGTCATGGTTTCCATGAATCATTGATGCCGTCTCTCTTGCCAAGCTGTACTTGGTCTCTTAACCTTTTCATATTCTCTGTGATATGTATCTGCTGGAGTAGCATCAGCTCAAGGATATACGGCTTAATGCACAAACTTGCTTGTGTACAGCTGGACCTTGCAAGTACATGTTAGCCTTTATCTGAAGTCTGTGGAATCAGGATTCATTGGCAACCGGCTGACGTCCCAGGAGGAAGTAGTGGAAATAGAAAGCTACTCTAACAAGCCAGATTGCAGAATCCAATTATTGGACTAATAGCTTTTCCTTGACGCTGTAAAACATTCTCTTTCTAAGGCTGCATTTTTTTGGATCAGTGTTATGTAGGCGGTAGCGGTACCTTAACGTATTTGTAATTTCTGGGTATTCGCTATTGTTATGCAAAATGAGCAGGTTGTGTGAAATACATTGCCAAGCACTTGCTTTGATTTAGAGAACCTGTACATTATCTAAATGTAAATATAAATCTATATTTGAAATGCATGGTTAAGTGCAGGAAAATCAAGATTAAAGCAGCACTAATGGAAAACAAGATGAGGCTGGACCACACTAATGTATCACTGTATATCACAGTAATGTTCAATAAGTGAGGTTTGCTGGGCTGTATTTGCACTGAGATAGTCTTATAGTTTGTAGCACAACTACATTAGGGACACACCATGAATAATTCAGAAGGCTTTCAGTGGACTGAATATAAACTTGGGCTTATAATCAGTCCAAATTCTTGCTGGGGTTGAAATAGTTAGGAGAGACTTGTAGTGGAAGCTGTGAGTCATTCCAGCCCAGTGCCTCTCGTTGTCACAGATTGCTAACCTTCACTGCTGTGCAACAAATATAATTACATTACTGTTATGGAGAGATAAGGCCAAACTGCTATTTTAAGAATTGTAATGACTTTGTTTTGATAACAAAGCAGCTAGAATGTTTACTGATGTCTTTTCAAATTATGTTTGCATGCTTTTGAGTTGTCGTGTGGCTTTGTTTAATGTGCATACCCACTCAGTGCACAAAATACCAGATTGGAATTTTATCAGAGAATAGGGAAAGATCAAAGGCTTACATATTTTGTTATCATTGCGGTTTTGTCTGTGTTTGCCAAAAAGGACTTTAATCCCCAAGTATTGTCTTTATTGGTATTACTATCATCATTTCGGTTTCCTACATTTCCTATGAGACAATGTGTAACTGCAGCATATAAAATGAACAACCAATAAAGTAAATGGCAGTTGAAGCCTGTTTCCAAGGGAAAATAAAGACTAACATCCTGATAAATAAAAATAAAACTAAAGGAAGGCAAAGCATAGAAGCCTAAATTCTTGAATTTGAACATATGTCTTGAATAGGCTGAACAATTATGTCTTCAATTAGGTATGTTTAAGGGCCTTTAGAGAGAATAATAGTTGCCAAAAAAATGCCACATCTGGACCTTCCATGTACAAATGTATTCAACAAAGAATCCCTATACATGACATTGTAATTTAAGAATAATTGCGTGGTCAGATTTATAATCTCAGAACCTGAGTTTTATTGAAAACAACCATTGATACTGTGAGGTCACTGATTCTTATACGTGATTTCTCTACTATGCAGGTTTTGTGAATCCCCTTCAAGCGATCTAGAGATGAGGAATGGCCGTGGTCGGGGTAAGCGAATGAGACCGAATAGCAACACCCCTATCAACGAGAACAGCAACTCTTCTGACAACAAGGGCACCACCAACAACAAGACGCGTGCTGCTTCCAACAGCAAGGGCCGCAGGGGCAGCCAGACGCCATCAGAGCGCCGCACACCCCCTAACAGCAACACAGAGGACATCAAGGCCAGTCCTTCCTCGACTGGTAAACGTAAGACCAAACCGGCCTCGGACATGGAACCCAATTCCAGCTCAGAGGACACCAAAGGCAACAAACGTATGCGGACCAACTCCAACAGTGGAGGAGTGGGTCCCACAGGACTCCCTATTCCTTCTATTAAGACTGAGCCACTCCCACCTCCCCTCGATCGCAGTTGCCCCTCTCCAGTTCTAATTGATTGCCCACACCCTAACTGCAACAAGAAGTACAAGCACATCAATGGTCTCAAGTACCACCAAGCCCGTGCCCATAATGATGATGACATAAAGTTGGAAATAGATGGAGACAGTGAGTATGGAGAAGACTCGACTCTCCATCCTGAGCCAGGGAACTGTAATGGAGCATCCATCTCGCAGAAAGGATGCTTGTCTCCGGCACGTTCAGTAACTCCTAAAGGCAGGAACTTTGATGCTCAAAGTCCTTCCCCATCTCCGGGCAAGTTTGGTTCAAAACAGAATAAAAAGAAAATGGCTGAGACAGATCCAGAAACAGGAGGTGTCCCAATGGACGGCTGTGAAGATGGGCCATGCCTCACTGATGAGGCCAGTAACGATGATATAGATGATAAGAAGTCTAAAAAGGCTGGCACAAAAGCTGATAAACTGGCTCAGAAAAACATGAAGTCACCACGGCCTGTTGGCCCTGGCGCGACAGCACCGCAGCAGATGTACCCCTTTCCTCCTGGAAACCCAAATTCTTCCCCGGTGCTTACCCCAATGATACAAGGGGTTCCTAAGAGTCCCCAAATGAAGGGGACACAGCCTAAACCTGCTGCCATTGGAGATCCTGCCTCAAGTAGCTCCAAAGACAAGAAAAAGAAAAAGAAAAAGGATGGAGCGAAGGAGCCTGACAGCCCCAAGCCTCCTGGAAAGGGAGGTAAGCTAGAGGAAGGAAAGCTTCAATACACTGATGCCTCTGAACTAGGAATTAAGGGGGAAGGACTGCTCAATGGTTCTTCAGATCTTCATCAGAGTCGCTTGGCCAGTATTAAGGCTGAGGCTGATAAAATTTACAGTTTTTCTGACAATGCCCCCAGCCCATCAATTGGTGTAGCCAGTCGGATAGATGGCAGTGGGATGCCACAGCCTCTCACGCCAATAAACCCTGGGAGCCAGAATGGTGCCGACAACTCTTCAGTCAAAACTAATAGCCCAGCCTATTCAGACATTTCAGATGCTGGTGAGGATGGTGAGGGGAAACTAGAAGGTGTCAAAGTTAGGACAGAGGAACAAGCTGTCAGGGAAAGTGTCAAAAAAGCACTTTTTCCAAACCCGGCGCCCAGCAAAGAGTCCCCATACTATCCCGGGTATGACGCGTACTACTCACCCAATTACGTTAACCCCAGTCCCGGTGCGCCCAATCCAGGTACACCAGCAGCTGAAGGTCAGATTAAGATCAAAAGGGAAGAGGACCAGGAGCAAGGTGAGGTAAAAGTCAAAGTTGAGGTTCATGAAGACCACAAAACTGACAGTGCCTCTGGCCAGCCGCAACAACAGCAACAACAACAACTGCAGCAGCAGCAGCAGCAGCAGCAGCAGCAGCAGCAGCAGCAGGACCAGCAGCAGCGACAACAACAGCAGCAGCAGCAGCAGCAGCAGCAGCAACAGCAGCAGCAGCAGCAGCAACAACAACAACAACAGCAGCAGCAGCAACAGCAGCAGCAGCTGCAACAACAACAACAGCCTTCAGTCATCCAACAGCGATCGAACATGTACATGCAACCTCTTTACTACAACCAGTATGCGTATGTCCCCCCATATGCATACCACCCTGATCAAGCCTACCATAACCACTTGATGAACACCAACCCAGCATACCGGCAACAGTACGATGAGCGGCAGCGACAAATGGCTGAACAGCATCGTGCCGAGAAGAAGTCGGACATAGCCATAAAGGAACGGGAAGCCTCCATGAAGGAGGAGTGGAAACAAAAGAGCCCGATGCCGCCAAGCCTTTCCAAAGCCCCAAGTCAGCCAGAGCTTGGAAAGACGTCGCAGCCCTCGAGCAAATCCAGGGACTCGCCCTCTGACCCTTCCTCTAAATCCCTGGGGAGCATAAAGACAGAGGACCCAAAGTCCCAGCAAGCTGAGGGGCTAAAGATGAAGCTGTCTGAGGGAGGACCCCATGGAAAGGAAGACTCCAAGCCGACACTGGAGCACAGAGGTCAGGCAGGGACGGAGCAGGCCATGTGGTACAGACAGGTAAACAACAATCTATGATGTCAGTGTTAGAATCTATGTTTTTACATCTGATATTCTAGTTTTATTTCAATATGTAGATTCAGAATGTGTGCTGACTTGTACCGTCTTTCAGCAGTACCCCGAGGGCCAGAAACCCCAATCAGAAGACGAACACCAGCAACAGCAACCTCGATGGAAAGATGAAAGGGACAGAGAACGGGAACGTGACCGCAAAGTAAAGGATGAAAGACCCAGGCCCAAGGACAGTCAAAGTGGGCCCAAGGAGGAAGGCAAAGAGGGCAGTGATCCTAGAGTCCCTTCTGAGGACCAACGGGCTGTGAACAAAGACTCTCGTTCTAATCCCCACATGCAGTTCTCATCACCACTAGCACAGCACCAGGGCTACATGCCCTACATGCACGGTTACCCCTATGGACAAGGCTATGACCCCAACCACCCTGGATACAGGGGCATGCCCTCGGTCATGATGCAGAATTACCCAGGTATGAGATAAGATTAACTCCTAATATTAGGGAGTTAAAAAGAAAAAACTCCTAGTGAAAATAATGTTCAGTATGCAGTTCTATTGCTTTGAATAGCGAGTCTATTCGTTTTACTGTACAGTTATGAAGAGGCAACCAAGTCAACATGGTTTAAATAATTGAAGGTGTGTTGTTTTTGGCTTGCGTTACTTTTTGAAAACACGCTGGTTCTAAGGATTTGTTAGTGCAGCTTTACATCGTCCATCAAAGCTGTGTGTACCGGTCTAAGCAACACCTCTGGTCAAGTATTTGTGATTTTATTCAGAAATAACTGAATTTGGAATTTGCAGCAATGTTTGTGTTGTTACCACAAATTGCTGTTTTTTGTTGTTGTGAAAATGTTAAAACAGCAGGAAATAATTGTGATTATTTGGCGTAGCTCGATGGAGCCAAAACATAGCGAGCTCCGGGAGAAGTGTGTATGAAAGTTAGATAAGTTGAGTCAATGAGGTTTTATGGTTCTAAATAGGCTTATTATATGTGCAAGATTACAATTATTAGGGCGAAAATGCAGGCATTCATACTGGGGGGTAGTGCAAAGTATATTTCACACGTGTTCAAGAATTGTGTAACCCCTTTATTCACACTGTACTATTGATGGTTTACATTCAGAAATGTTCTGACTATAAATTTTTCTTCTGTAAGTGAAATGAAACTGCTATATTTTGTCATTGCAGTCGAACACATTGAAATACTTCCACTGGTTTTTTTTTCTTCTAAATCGTGAAAATATGTGTAGAGAAAATAAGCTTGAATTGGAAACTGGAAATAACTCAATAAAGGTGGACAATATGACAATTTTGTCTAGAAGTCAAAATAGTCTGGTTAGTGACCTGAAATCAATTGTGTTGACTGTTCAACTTGATTGATGTGAGCATTAATGAATAGCAATCAATCATCAATAGTCTCATCTGATTCCACATCAACCTAATTCTAATCAATCTTATTGATTACTCTCAGGTTCGTACCTTCCTGGAGGCTACCCGTTTTCTCCATATGGCAGTAAAATGTCCGGAGCTGAGGAAGGCGGCGACAAATCTCGTGCTAGCCCAACAGTCACCAAAACGGCCGTGGACTCCAAAGCCCTGGATATCCTGCATCAGCACGCCAGCCAATACAAGAGCAAATCCCCCACAGTCGGTGACAAGCCGCCCCATGAGAGGGAGCGGGAGCAGGACCGAGGCGCCGGAGGAGAGAGAGATCGGGAAAGGGAGCGCGAGAGGGAAAGAGAAAGAGACGTAGACCGACCCCGCTCCTCGCCCTCCCAGCGCATCATGCCCTCCCACCACCACCTGGGGTACCCCCTACTCTCGGGGCAATACGACCTATCATACGCCACAGGTGAGTCATTCAGCTCAATGTTTGAGAGTGGATTCACTACATTAAATGTTATTCTTAAGGTACCATATATGCAGAGTAGATTTATGCCATCTAATTAAATACAAAAGGCCCACAGTCCAGAATATTGAGTGAAAGTATGTGCTGACTGTTTAATTAAAGCAGATGACCAAGCAGCAATCTAAATTAACAACCTAAATAGGACAAATCACTGATAGCCATACATTTTCCGATTCACTGTAGGTCTCTCCTCAGCAGCTATTGTTGCCAGCCAACAAGCAGCAACCCCCTCTCTCTACCCACCCCCACGGAGGTGAGAACGGTAAGACCCCATTAGTTAGAGAGCGGGCAAAAGACTGATTGTGAAACAAACACAAGGCTATGTATACACAGCTGAGAGCAGTGTTTGCAGACAAGACAAATGCAGGTGGAAGACATCTTGCTTCTCCATATTTAAAAATATTAAGGCTACGAGTACTAGCACTGAAGATAAAGCAGTTTATTTCTTTGTCCTTGGTTTATGTCATTTGAAGTTAAAAGAACACCCTGCTCCCTGCTCACAGGCAGCAACTTGTAAGAAAAAACAAATCATGGCCAAACAAAACCATCAGCACTGCTGAAATCTTTCACAATATGCAGTGCAGCATTTAGCTCCACGGCTCATCCATCCTAAGTAGGTCCTCTGAGGACAAGTGGATCATAGTGTTGATAATAGAGATGTGCAATGAGCCCGCCAACACGCCAAACCAGAGCAGCCTGCACCGCCATCTAGTGGCAGCGCTTTCAAATGACACTCGCCAAATTATAAATGAATGGTGTTGATTCAACCTTTAGTCAATTTGAGGAAGACATTTGTGGTTATGTTAAACTGTATTGAAATGAAGGCGATGGAGGTGTTTCTATTGTTAAAGTAACACTTGTGAGCATTATAACCTTCATGAAAGTGCAATTCATAGCAGAGCTGTAAAAGACTGGTAGATTTACATAACAATACGGCTTTTGAGTGTAGGCTGCATGTAAACACATAACTAATAACACACCTTTACTGGTGGAAGGAATATTCCTATTTTAAGTCCTTTATTTAGAAGTAACACAAAACTATATTGCGTAACTAATAATAAGCCTCTTCTTTTGCCTAAATAGAGCTATCGGAGTATGATCAGTAAAAAAGTTCTTTAGGTATCAACAATAACAGTATTCAGAACCGGCCCTTTGAGAGCACAACGTTATTGTATGTATAATATTGCACTACTATTATTTAGGCATAAATGTGTAAACACTGTTTACTAGTTGTAGTTGTCCAAGTTGGAGAAATTAATTTAAATACAGTTGAGTGTATAAGAAAAGCAATGTGTTTTTTAACATAATCATATATTTTGTTCTTAAAGTCTTGATATACCAAGTTACTAGTAAATATGGGTCCTCAAATAATGTATTAATAAGTGAAAGAACACAAGTTCCCTCTAAAATGAAGTAAACTGTAATGTACGTAAGCATTGTAGTGTATACAGCTTAAGTTAAACTGTACATGCTGCTTTTTGTTTCTGTATTTGATGTGAATGTTGTGACGTGACCTGGTGTAATACGTTCTTCCTCTGTTTGCTCCACAGGGAAACCTGACCGTCACACCTCGACCCTGCAAAGATTCATGTGACTGGCTCACATGAGGAGAGAGTCCCCCGCTGTTCCCTCTTAGACATCAGTTGAATGGTGTTTCTATCTATATCTTTTAGTTCTTCTGCCCTGAGGATATGCAGATTATCGTTTCTTTTTTTTTTTTTTATGTCCTCCCCCGTGAACAACCCCAATTTTTTCCAAACCTTGGACTAAAACAAGACTGATAAAAACCCAGGTTCAAAGCCATCACTCTGCCTCAACACGCAGAGGAAACACCGACCCTGACCGCTGATTATCTAGTCTTTGCACTGTCAACACATACAATGCAAAAAGAGACTATTGGACTGCCAGACAGCTCTTTTTTTCTTTCTTGAACTGTATTGTTTTCGGTCGCACGCAGAAAGAAACTGGCAGGGGATTTATGATGAGATGGGGGGCTGATGGGGAAAAGGGGAGTCAAACTAAATTAAAAGACTGAAAAGAAAAAGTGAATCATATTGAAATGAATCACCTCTCTGTCTCTGGCTTATTGTATGCCGTGAAAAAACAGTATATCCTTAACTTGACAAATGTTCGGCTATATTTCGTGGGCGAGAGGGAATATGGCAACAGCTGCTTTCTTCAGAGACTTGAGAGCCTGAGAATTTCATTTCATTTTCCCATCAACATTGTCGATTCACATCCTCTTTGAAGCCTCAGTTCTTGTTTCAGGGATGACGTCGTCATGTTTTTGCGAAGGGACCGCACACACCTCAATGGAGAATAAACACTATTCATGTTTTCTTTTCTGGGTAATGCTTCACTTGTACTCCATATCATTGTGTTCATCCTTGAATGTGTCTGATGCTGGTATGAGTCCTGTTATTCCTTATAATGAAAGGGTCACATCTGTTGTTTTGCTCAAACAGTGAAGCCATATTAGCAAGTGAAGAATTCACGGGGCGTTATCGTCACTGCACCTGGCCACTTGTTGGGGTTTAAACTGTACGATTGTGCTTCATTTAGCTTGTCACGTTTGAATGTCCTCAAAAAAGAAAAAATGTGAAATTTCACTCAACACATGTATTTTTCTGCTGTAATATAGACTTAAAGCCTACTTTGATGTGCATTAATGTTTATATTTATCCCAGCACCCAACTGTTGTTCAATAGCCTCCAGCCTTCACAGCACACCATGTGCTCAGATCATCGTTTCTGAGATGTCTCAGCTTTGGTAGTCATGCTGCCCTTTTACCTTTGTATTCACTTTCTAGTATTTCAACACATCACAAGCTTGGTTCACACACTCATCCCAACATGCAGTCAGACTGGATCCAGACCTGAGTCACTGTCCACATCTCAGATATTTTAAAGCGATTTTATAGCAACTCAAACCGACAGATTTTGTGGAAAAAAAATGGTCCACCAGTCTAATTTCCAGGCTGTTGTTCACTGTCAAAAGGGCGCAAATATCTCCTGGTGCTTCTCTTGCTCGTGTGGCTTCACTGTAACACTTAGACTTCAGACAGTTAGCATGGGTTACTTACTAGCGACTAGCTTTGTATTACCTGGGCTGAGGAGTCTGATACCTCAGACAAAAAGCTTCTGCCTGTGCTGTTAGGTCAACATACTGGCACATTAAACACACGTGCATGAAATGACTCCCAAAAACCCCTGTACCTGTTACACGAACCAATCCGATACAGCCAACAGACCGTTAAAAAACTTGGAACAAAAACAAGCATGGTAAATACCAGTGAAATAGGGATCTTGATGTTGCACATAGGAGTGAAGAAGGAAGGCTCAAAGTTCAGCAGAGAGGAAGCACGTTGCTCTCGGCTTTCCTTCGGATCTGTAACTGGTGGCTCCCCTCAGTAAATTCACATGACATCTGCAGAAAGAGCAACAGTCAAAAAGGCCCGTTCTACCCGAGGACCCTCTTGGCTTTAAATTACAGTTCTCTTGTACCTCAGGGGTTGTAAGTGAAATTCAATCCAGATGCTATTTGCATTGATTTGAGAGGGCTTTTGTTTATGGGTGTGGGGGGAAAAAGCACATTTTTGGTTTTGAGCTGGATGTGCTGCTGTAGTGGTTTCATTCATAAATGGCAAATTGGCTCAGGATAGGGACTTGTTAGAGGTTTTATGCCACCCCATGCTGTCGTGGGTCGTGAACAATCTTTACGTTCCTGCTTTATGAGTGTAATATTGACAGTGTTGTCATTAAATATAATTTTATTGATTTGGGTTTCTACACTTTAAGGTTCCCTTTGTTGTAATTCTTTTTTTCTTTGAACACTGTATGTGATCAAGTCCACAAGCAGCCAGTTATTCCCACGTCTAACACCCTCTGAATTTGGATGGTTGTCGAGATCCTTCTGATCGTTATGAAACTGCAGCAATTCATTTTGAGGTTCACGGACATTCCCATTCAATAAGTTGCCAGTTTCTCATCCCAAGGAAATTTGCAAGATGGTTTATTTTTAGAATTTTTGCGCATTTCAAGAAGAATGGCTGATATGAAAAAGCTGAATGTGGTGGTGTATGACTTGTACTTAATCTGTAAGGGTGATCTAGGCAGCTGTGATGTTGTCATTAAAGTCTGTGGGTTTTAGTGCCAGCACACTGCATACAGTACATATAGTTTTATCAGACAATGGTTGTGACAAGTGCATTTGTCCTCTCTCTGAGAGTAGTAATGTTATCTCAGTAGTAAGAAAAGCCCAGTGAAATCATATATACTGAAGTGTATGAAAAGCCAGAAAAGTAATGTTTGCTATCAACATATTGGAAAGTGCTTGGCTCTTGTATTTTGCAGGACTGTATTTGTTTCATGGTGAAGAGTATATTTATTGGCCAGCAGTTGTCTCAATTGGTGCCTAGTTGAACATTCTTCTGTGAAAACACAGAGACACTTGCTCTTTTGTCCTTTTCCTGACCCACCTACTGTCACACAGCCCCCCCTCCCCCAGAGTGCCGGTTCTGGTGCTTGCAAGGATGTTTACAATGTCTTCATTTTCTTTCTGTGTGAGAAATTCAGAACTCTTCACCCTCACCTCCTTTCTCCCTCCCTTCAGGAGTTTGTGTAAAGTGTACATTACCATGGTTCTTTTTTATACAATACTCTGTAACTTGCCTTTGTAAATTTGGGCTGGAAAAAAATAAATCTTTTTATGAGACGATCTGTCCTGGGAACTGCTCAATTGCCTTGGCTCTGTGGATGCTGTGGAAATAAGATAATACTGTAACTAACTACTATGTTTGTCCGTGTGTTATCTCCTAAGTAATGTTTACGCTTGAAAATACAAGATCACAGGCACTAGAAACCAATCATTTATCTTTACAGAATACTTTATTTTACAATATAAGTATAAATAGATAATTATCTTTACTTAAATGTTTTAATTAAGGGTAACCCGTTTGCCACACAATCTGTTGACATGAGATGAAACTGCACTGAGTGTTCTGGCCACAGGAGAGCAGTGTCTAAAGGAGACACAGTAAGCCTCAGCTGCACTGTCGTTTCACTGCTGACCAGCTTCCTGTTCTAGAGCAGGATTGTTTCAACACCACATACATGACATTTAATTTAACTGCTGTTACTCCACCAAATGACTCTGCAGAATGATATGGGTGTCATCTGCTGCAGAGAAAAGCTTATCTTCAATTTGTTTTCTTGTAAACAAACAAAAGCTGTATTTACATGTAGCTTTCCCACAGTCAAAGTGTGTCCTTTCCAACAAACGTGTCTAGTGCATTTCATTTTCCAAAAAACTAACAATCTAACATTTAAATCTTAGATTAGGGGTGTCCACACTTTTTTCACTGAGGGCCACATACATAAAGATCTAAGAAGGGCTGGGCCCTTCACTAGAGGTCAGTTATATTGTCTCATAAGTGAAGTTATAAGTTAGAAACATCAATCAATGTAGGCAAATTATTCTTAAATACAGTTTTCTATAAAGTTTCATTTATTTTGTTACAAAATGTTTTGGCAGCTCATTCCTTATTAAAACAGAAGCTGTTGCTCTCCCCTCACAGCCCTGTATAAAAGGTATACTTCAAGAGTCAGAATCCCTTTATTAGTCCCACAGAGAGGAAATGTACGTAGTTACAGCAGAAAAAAGAGCCACAGACAGCTTAATGTTACATGCATTAAAAAGTTATGATATAATAAAAAATAAAAAGTTACACAATTTACAAAATACACATCTTGTAACAGTTCTAAGGATTAGGCAGCCAGGTATATATTTCACAGTTATTAACGGCAAGAGTGTTATGCAAATAAGTTATTGGGCTTTTTGTATCAACTAAGATTTATTAGGAAATGTTTTTTGACTTTAATTGACTGAATTTATTTGAAAATAGGGCTTATTAACGCGGACATAACATCAACAATGAATACTGTGTAATATATGTTTATATATTTAAGAAGTGAAATGAAAGAAAAACACAAGCTTCATGTGTGGGCCATATTCCATTATACTTTTAGAATTAGCTGTGCGCGAATAAAAAAGGGCCCCGGGCCATAGTTTGGACACCCCTGTCTTAGATAGTTATCATCTATGTTTACTTGACGCCTGCTGTTTCTGGTGTATTGCAGCATAACTTACTGTGTTTCCCCCACCTGTTGATCAGAGGAACAGCGCACCGTAGCACTACAGGAGCACATCACTCTGCAGAGAACCTTGAGTTTAATGCATGTGCGTATTCATGGTGCGTGCCAGCAGAATTTATTCAACGTTTTTACATGTCTTTGAATCAAATGAATAAATGCCAATCATTTGCTTGCAAAAGATTTTCAAATGTGTCGCTTTGCTCCCATTATTCTTAGTATCAAAACATTTTGGACTGTTGATCAGTGTGGCTGAAACTAACAATTTTGGATGAATCTGTAGATCAGTTTAGCGAGTACTCAACTAGTTGTGTGGTCTATAAAATGTCAGAAAATTGGGAGACAAAACAACATTTCCAAAGCCCAAGATGATGAACATTGAAAACTAACATTTAAGTAACTATAGAATCAGAAAATGTTGAGTCAAACCGATAAATTGATTAGCAAAATAGTTTGTGATTTATTGAATAGTTGACAACTCCGGAACTAATCATTGCATATGTATTGCTAAAAGAAACGTAAAGCCATTTCAAGATTGCCTTAAGCCTTGGTAAACTGCAGAGCATTTCTCACTAATCTATGACAATTTAGGGACTGAGCAATTACCGTAATGGAAAGAAATACAAAATGATTTGTTGCAACCCCAGCAGAGTGTTCGACCAGCTGTCAAACTGTCCTCTCTCTCCAGCTGCACTCAAACGTAAACAAACTTTACCTGCTGCAGCTTTCCCTCCCTATCCGTCCGTTAGGATAATTTTAACTGCTCCTAATGCTCCCAACCTGAGGCTGCGTCGGTGCATTAGCATAATGCAACATCAGTGACAGGGAGCGATTACCCTGGGGATGATTTTGTTGAGTGTAAATGTGGAATCTGATTATCCTCGATGCTCTCAGCTCAGCAGAGGGGGGAGGAGGGCCAGAGAGAGAGGGAGGGAGGCTGGGAGAGAGGGAGGGAGGTTGGCTGGAGGAGAGATGCAGAGGGAAGGAGGGGTTAAGACAGCAAAGTGCTGAGCCAATGGCTTTCCACAGAGCAGCTGGCTGGCATCAGGACGGGACAGGCCGTGCAGAGGAAGGATACCTTGAGGACCGCTCCTCTTCGATCGCTGTAGGACACCGAGGGTGACTTCCAGGAGGTGTTCATGGGATGCACTATCTACGCAGCCAGCCCTAAGGCCCTGCCCGCTGAAGAGGCCCCCGGACAGGACAGATACTACCAGCTGCCCCACCACCGCCACCCTCATGGTAACTGCAGCCAGCGGATAGCAGCCGGCAGAGCCAGGTCAGTCTGCAGCACACAGGAAGTAAGCTTAGCACTTGGCATGCTTCTCATGAGTGTCACTGACAAGGCAACTACAAGAAGGCAATTGAGACTTAGTTAATGGATCTTATTACCTCTCAGCCAATCACAGAGGAGGACATGTGGAGAATGAACTGGAGGTTTGAACTGGGCCAAGTTTGATGTGGAGGGTAAAGTTACTTAAGAATCAGGAAGAAGTCCCTTGTGATTTGTTTTAACATTCATTCATGATTTTTAGTGTTTGTTATATGTTAGAAATTAGGACGTCCAGTTTGTGTCCGCATTTTAGGTGTTTTTGCCTCTGGATATCAAATAGGTACATGCATACGTTGGAATAAATGGATGACAACAGCTAAGCAATGGATTCAATCATGACTAATGTGGGTCGTTTTGGGCGAGCGTGCAGCTAGCTGCATCGGTTAGTGTCATATCTTCTTCTCTTTACACATTGTAAACATTTAGCTCTATTTATGTTTGGACATGTGAATTTGGAAACATGCGATGGGAACAAATAGTTGGTGATTTATAGGTGACATACAGTATGCTGCTCGGAGTTCAGTATAAGCTAGGCTGTCTATGCTGTCTGGCGGTCTTTTTGACACGATTTTCACATTCTTTGAGTAGTTATACCGTTTTTGACAAACAGAAATATTGTTTTCTGGCATCACTTTAAAATGTAACGGGAAAAATCTGCATTTTGGTATGAGGGCGCACGCCGAAAGTAAGAGGGCGCAACGCCCCTTTTACCCTGTTTAGACAGAACCCTGGTTACTGAAACTCATCCTGAGTATCAGTGGTTAAAAAGTGGGACTTCTTGTTCATAAATGATTGTAGTTGTGTGCTAAATATGGAGGATGGACTTTCAACCACATAGCATTATAAACAGTAGTTAAAATCACTTAATCCTAGACTGTAAACGCATCAATATTAATATTAGCTCGGAGCAATAATTGTAGACATCTGCTCACTTTTTCTAGGGTAAACATTGCAGAAATACATTTTGGACAGGGGTGGAGTTTTCTGTGCCCCAAAATTGCCGCCAAATACACTAATCAGAATGGTACATTGGGTTAGTATCTTTTATTTGGCAGTGGCTGACAGTGTGAGTGGTTGTGTAACATAAACAATAATATCTAGTGGGTTTTTTGCTAGAGGGTGGTGGAAGGAGGCTTCAGGGTCGTGTTTATGTCCACAACAGCACATTTTACCATGTTTGCTGTCAAAACTTTTGCTAAGCTAATGCTAACACTTGCAAATGCTCTCACATTGACAAGTCCACTCTTCGCTGAGGTTACAGGTGTTGAAGAGAACTTTAGAAATGTGTGATGTACCTAATCTATTTTAGCCGGGATGCGTTTACATTTAGATTTTTCTGGGAATTGCAGACATCTCTCCCTTAAGTAGAGGACTGTGAAAACCACTCTCCAGTGTCAAACCTTGCACAGAAGCTGATATAGTCAAGGTCAGACATTTGAGGAGACATTAACATCATAGGCAAATACATGTTTGACTGTAAATTAACTATAAATTACGCTCTAAATGTACAACTTTTAAGTTTTTTTGTTTATATTATTTCTACTTTAAACAGATATGAATATCCTACGTAGCATTAGGGTCTTATTAAACAAGGCTCACCGGGGGAACAGCTTAGAAGCCATTAATTTACAAAAACAAAAAAAGCCCTGGCAGACATGTTTTTGTTACTCTTGTAGTTTCAATGAATGAGGACTCGTTAAATTATTCTGGGAGCCTCTGTGGTAGGAGAGCAGCGTCAGTGTAATCCCCCGACAGTGTGAACTCAGCCCGCCCGGCTGTAGGTAAGCTCAACCCACCTCACACAGGACGCACTTCTCAGGAGGTCACAGCCGCTCACTCTGTCTTTTAGCTTGCAGCCGTTTTCGTGACCATCTTGGAGTTTAATGTTGATTTTTCGTGGATAAAGTACTTGAGATGATTTGACCGAGACATGAAGCACGGACCGGAGGAGTTTCGTGCAGCTACAAGGCGACAAAAGGGCGGAAAAAGTCACAGTGTCTGTTGAAGCTACAGGTAGGAGCCGTTATCCGACCTCAAGCTAGAAAGCGGTAGAGTGTGACTTAAAATGTTAAAAATATTTCAAAGTAAATGCAACAGTAACCAAATGTGGCAGGATGGTCATGAAATAATCCTTTTAATTGATGTTTGTTTTTAAGTATGGTAGTTAGGATTCAACGGTATTTGTCAAGTATTGCCCATTAAGCCCTGTATACTGTTTGAGTTCCTAAAGTTAAAAATGTTCCTCTTTTATTTTGAAGGATCTCTTCCTGTTTCCATCAGAAACTTGCCTGTTTTGACATTCTCGACAAGTGTTTCTG